CCCCTCTTTCCCCACTGAGCCTCTGGATGCTTCCTAATGAAGCCCTCCAGGTGCAAGCATAATACACAGCACTGGCAATGAAGTCAGCCCTTTTCCACCTGGGAAAGGAGGTGGAGAGCATACATGAAAGACAGCCAGGGGCAAGGGGCTGATCAAGCACTCCCATAAAAACCAAGCTTGTTCCTTCTTGTCTGAATACCTGGTGCTTGCAGCAGCTGGCTGCCCTACACAGCAAGCAAATAATTTTAGCAAGGAATTCTGCTCTGGGCATCCAGTTGACTGGGACTTCCTTTGAAATGGAGAGCAGAAGTGTGAGTACACAGGGGTCTAGAGAGAAGGGATATGATGAAAAGAAGAGGAGGGCAAGCTCAGACAAGGGGAGAACGTGGTGTGCTTTGGGTTTATCTCCATCAGCCCACAGGAAATGATGCTACAGGACATTCCTGACCAAACAGTGTCCATGAATCAGCACAGGAAAAAAAACAAAATGGAAAAAAAAGACAAGAAAAGCATAAGGAGGCAAAACATTTGAAATAAAATGAAATGGATCTCACTGCTCAGTCTGAAGGGCCATGAGCTGTGCCATGCCACGCTGTGCCATGCCAGACAGAGCACCTCTCCTATTCCTGGCCCATGAGGACAGTGGGAATGCTGCAACTGCACCACAGCACACCTGGTTTTGTCCCAGCTGCAAATGGGAAGCTTGATATGCTGCAACTGCACCACAGCACACCTGTTTTTGTCCCAGCTGCAAATGGGAAGTTTGACGGGCACCAGCTCAGCTCTCCTTCTGTGATGTTGTTTCTATGGCACATCCTCAACTGCCTTAGGCACGTGAATGAGGCCTCACTTATCTTCCCAGTGCTCAATATTTCTGTCCTGAGACACCAGCTCTTGTCCTGTGGCCTGCGGGAGAGACCTCATCCCTTCATCATCAGAGCAGGGAAAGCAAAGCGAAATGATTTCACAGGTGCTACAGGTAAGGACCTGCACTCAGGCAGTAACCACAGAGCTGCTGACATCTAAACCCTCATTCCTCAGTTGGGTAACAGTCTGCAGCTCTCCACATGCTCCCTGAGAACTCAGCACCACCCAGGCAGCATGGAAGCCTGTATATCCAGTTGAGGATGTGGAGTGTAGGTGGAAGGTCTGTAGGATGATGTCATGGCTTAGACCTCATTGGAAGGTGGAGGGGAGGGGTGTGGTCCGGGGTGGGCAGGTGTTAAAGAAGCCGAGCATCCTTGTTTAAGGAGGGAGAAGAAACTCAGGAGACTGGGAGCTCAAGTTAGTGAAGTGGGAAAGCACAAGACAGCAAGGGAGACAAGGAGCAGGGGAGGAGGGAAGCACAGAGCTGGACACAAGGGGCTAGTCAGACCTCTGGGAAGGGGGCTGGCAGGCAAATGGAACATCTTCAGTATCATTTCAAACACTGTTGTTGATGATCCATGTTGTCCAAGGACACAGACACACAAAGCTGGGGTGAAGCTGGCCACAAACCTCCAGTTTGCCAAGGAGAGTGGCAATTCCACCAGGTCTGGCCACAGCTTACCTAAAGCACTGGCGGTGGTAGAGCTTGCCCTCGGCCAGGTAGCGCTGCACCAGGTGGACGTGCTGCTGGCAGGCTGCACAGGTACTGCTGAGCGTGGTGCGCTGGGACCGCTCCAACGGGTCCAAGGGGGCATCATCCTGGGACACAACACACAGGGGGCTCAGCATGGGGGCCACGAGCTGCTCCCCAGACCACAGATCCTCCAGAGCAGCTCCTCCCTGCACAAGGCCCATCGCTGAGTGCTTGTGGCACTGCTCAGGGGCTGAGCTCAGGGGCTGACAATGTGTGGAACAGCTGATCCTGAGTCCAGGCACAAGCAGGCTGCCTCTTCCCAAATTAGAAGAGGCCACTCCAAAAGGTGCTTTGTCCCTATCTATGGCTGAAGGGCTGTGGAAGGGATTAATCTATATCCCAGGCAGCACGGTCCTACAAGACCTTGAAGAATGTCCCATCCCAGACATCTACTAAAACCTGAAATAAAAGGCATCTTTTCTGCTCTTCTAGTCCCACATTACTGCTCCTTCCTCACCTACAGGGTTATCCTCACACAGGAAAGAGAGCATTTGTGCCCTGGGTGGCTCAAGGAACCATCCAGCACCGATCTGCCCAACCTTTTGCCCGCCATGGACAAATTACAGTCCACAAACTCATAGTGAGAAATCACTCTCTCAGCTGGGTCCCCAAGGCACCAAAATCCAAAACACCCCTCCCACCCCAAACATAGATAGGTAGACCCCTGCAAAGATCCATTCTGCTGTGAGGCTCTCTCCTGTCTCCTCACCCACAGTGTAGGGAGCACCACTGCCTCAGGCTGGCTTTGAATCAAGAAATTATGTACCTGTGGTGCTGGAGGACTCTCAACCACAGCCACAGGCTTCTTTTGGGACAGCAGAGGAGGCGAGGAGGCAGCAGTTGGGTGCTTCATAGGCGGAGGGACGCTGGCTGGAGGCAGAAGGGAAGGAGGATCAGGCACTGAGAGCAGTGGTGACTCACACCACCCATGTGGGGGAAGGGCAGGGGAAAAAAAGAAAAATCATCCAGCCTTGTGACATAGGATGGGACTTGCCGCTCCCAACACTTCAGTGCTTATTTTAGGTGGAAGAGACAAACACAATCTAATAATGGGTCAGCTGCGAGGCTGCCAGAGAGCCTGGCCCTGCTGTGGATCCCCTTCTGTGGCTCAGGGATACCAGCCTCCCACTGTGATTTTATTTATTCATCAAATGCTACTTGACTTCCTTGTAATCAACTCCCTAAGCAACACTTAGAGCCCAGAACACCAGAGATAGCTGCTGATATATTGTTCTGACCCACTGGGCCCCAGGGCTTCCAAGCTGTCAGCAGGTCTGTGAAGCATCTCTTGCTGTCAGGACTGGCACTCACACACCAGTCCCCAGTGGGATTCCTTGGCTGGAAGACCAACATCCTTGGAGAAGTATATACAAGTGGAAGAGATTTATCTGATGTTGTGGCTAGAAAGTGGAACAGAGGAGACCTGGAGCTCTGGTCTCCACCCAGCAGAGGGATGCCCTGGAAGAGCTGTCTCAGAGCAGCACTCAGCTCAGGTTGCAGTTGTATGGACAGATTTGCTGATTTGAGACTTTCCACCCTGGCTTCCCTCCCTCTGTCCTCCAGCCACTTTACACGGTGATAAAAATTAGCTGGGGTAGGCAGGGTGCCTGTCTAGCTTTCTCCCATTTTAGTGGGTTAGAGCAGATCACAAAGGGGTCTGGTGAGCACCAGGGGTGTTGGCCCAACCCAAGTGTCAGGAACGCAGCACAGTGGCAGGAGAAAGGTGTTGCTCTTTCCACAGCCTGAGCTGTAACATCACTCCTCACCTCTTGTGAAACCTCACCCTAATGCACTCCCTCTTCCAGGCCTTCCTCAGGGGCACCAGTGAGATGCAGGAGGCAGGTACTACCTGCTCCTCTCCCCTTCCCCACAAACACACACGGCTCTCAGCTGATACAGTAAGGAGGAAGCACAAGGTAACGCTGGGTTTCCTGCACTCAAACAAGGACAAACTTTGCCATAAGGTTGGGAGAACACTCACCTTGGCTGGGGTTGTTGAAATGGTTGTAATACTGAGACACATAAGTCATGATGCTAAGGCAGTCAGGGACTTTCATGGAGACCATATCATTGGGATCTAGCAGAGCTGGGATGCCCAGCTCCCGCTCTGCCAATTCAAAGGCCTGCAGGAACAGCAGAGAGAGGCATCAAGGAGAGAAAATTGATGCTCTCTGAAAAATAACACAGAAATCAAGTTGGAAGCACTCTGGGGAAGGTTATGCAGTAAGCCTGTGGCATCCCTGATGGGCACAGGCTCCCAGACATGCCACTTGACTGGAAAGGTAGCATCGGAAGCAGGGGAACAAGTTGCTGCAGCTGCCCTTTCCTTCAAGTAATTTCTGCTGCCCGAGCCCCTGAAACTTCCACCTGATGGGTCTTTGGTTGCTGCACTGGGACAGGAACTCTCAGGAGGTCTCAGTTTTCACTGAAAAAACATGTAGTGTTTTTCTCCACCAGCACCCTCATGCAAGAACTCAGGAGACCCTTGGCTGGCACCACGAAGGGCCTAAGGCTGGCAGATACTTTCAGCAACACAGCCAAACATCAGCGCTACAGAGCAGTGTCCCTGGCCATCCCAAATGCTCACCCCACTGAAACACTGACTCTGCCCATTCTTTCATGCTCTGGGGTGCTACATCCTCCCCTCCCACAATTAACATAGACACCCTGGCTCAACATCCAGCAGTCTGCCACACACAAGCCACTTCAGTACTTTTCTGTGTCTCAGCAAGCAGAAACAAGGACATTGATAGGAAGGACATAGCTCCTACAACTGCATACATGGTTATCTGAAGGGAAGAAATGGAGGAAAAAAGCTGTTTGAGAGCTTCCCACTCAACAGTGTATATGGATTACTGTCTATACACTGGCCATCTCACCGCAGTGTACACACATGGATCTCCAAGGGACAGGAGATGCAAGACTTTGGGAGGGACTGAAGAAAAGGTGAACCAGGACGGGATGAGAATGGTGTGTGCACTGAATGGTGAGGTACCAAATGCATGGTGTGGGTAAAGACTGCAGGTGCCTAGGCTCTGGGGCATGAGATGCTGTGCAGGGTCTGGGATATAAAGAAACAGAGAAATAAAGGAAAATTGATATTTGCAGTAACTAGGACTGTAAAAATGTCCCCTGGGGACATTCTGCTCTGGTCAGCCTGGCTTTAAGCTGGTTCTCTGCTGCAACACAAGGCTGCAAGCAGTGAGGAGAGACCTCACCTTAGAGGTCACTAATAGGACAAGAAACCCATTGTGTGGGTCTTCAAGGGAAAAAGATAGCTGTTAATGGCTGAAAGGGGCCAGCTAGTCTAGGAAAGGACATGCCACAACACAGCTGGAGAGTCCTAGTCCCGTAAATCCGAATCACAGAATTACAGAATGGCTCAGGTTGGAAAAGACCTTGGAGAACATCTAATCCAACCCCTGCTAAACCAGGTTCACCTAGCGCAGATTGCACAGGATCACATCTATGCAGGTTTTCAATGTCTCCAGAGCTCCACTTCCTCTCTGGGCAGCCTGGTTCAGTGCTCTGTCACCCTCATGGTAATGTTTGTGCCTGTTGCCCCTTCTGTTGTTGGGCACCTCAGAAGAGTATGGTCTCATCCTCTTGACATCTCTCCTTAAGATACTTGTTTGTAGGTCAACTTAACTTGGGAAAGTGATGGGCCTTGCCTCACCACAGACTATTAGATGGAGCCTTGCAGCAATCAGGTCTTTCTCTCATTAAAAAAAACAGGGCTATTGCCCCTCTGTGCCCCTGGGGTTGGGCACCTCCCCAGTCCCCACTGCCTGCTTCTGCTACTGGCTCCAGCTGTCCCAAGAAGAGGAACACTGAAGACCAGGGTCCAGCATGACCTTCTTCTCTGCTTATGCCTGGAGTAAAACTAGTTTCCTGCTTCTATTGCCTGCAAGTCTGGAACAACCGAGGTCAATATGTTGTACCATTTAAATCTTCACCTGAGATGTTGTCTTGGCAACTACTAGGATAACCAGTACAGGCCGGAAGCTGATGTTTCAGATTCCCTTGTTTCCACAGACGCTCCTGCCTGTTACAAACACAGATTTTCCTTACACCCTCACCACTGTCACAAAGACCTCCCACACAACATGACCTCCATCAAGTCATTCTCACTTCCCTTCTTCTTTCTGTGCACAGCAGAGTGGGGACTTACCAAGCGGTTATTCTCATAGACATCATCCTTGGAGAGAGAATCGAAGTCCCTGAAATGAGAAAGCGCAAAAAAGCCACATGAGGTGCAGAGGAAAAGTGCCCCTATGCCATCACACGCAGGTTCCCAGGACAGCCAACCTTACAACAACTCAACACGTAAGACCCTAGACAAATAAAACCTTGGCAAAGCAAATTTCAGGTTATAAAAGGACAAAGAAACCAAAGGGAAATTGCAGGTAAAAAAAGAAAGCAAGTCCCAAATGGGTGGTGACCAGGAAACTAAAATGTCAGTCTCTCGTTACCCGCTTCTTCGGCCCTTGAGATTAAAGGCTGCAGAAATACCAGGGCCATGCTTCAATTAGCACCACACACTGTTGTATCGAAGGGTACACAACATCACCCCAAACTTGCCCCTCCAAGGCCACTGGCACAA